GGCTAAGGGAGGCAAAAAAAAGAAGCAGGTTCTGAAGTTTACCCTCGACTGCACCCACCCAGTCGAAGATGGAATCATGGATGCTGCCAATTTTGTAAGTTTACACCCTTGATGCCACTCAGGACAGTAACGAACCTTTTGAGATGTTGCTGAGAAAACTTACTGGAGCACGTTTCTGCTTTGGGCGCGTAGGCAACTGCAGTTCCGGCTCTGTGTTGAGCTCTCTCTGGACTGTGGTCTAGTTACTTGTTTCTCTGTCTTGAGTTCTCTCGTGGAACAGGTGTGAGAAAGAAATGAGTTGGGCTCTAGCACATCAGTGCCAGAGAACTACCTTCTTTTCCTCTTTTAGTGTCCAAAAATGACTTTATTTAAAAGTTACCAGGAAACAGGCACACATGCTCAGCTCCAGCGTCCCACTTGCACTCTGGTGTGTTCAGACATCAGCCATGGGCCCTGATGCCCACGGGCCAGGGGCTGCCTCCACCCTTGGCCTGACTGCTGGGCTGTGGAGCCCTGGGCAGATGGCAGCACCTCCTCCTGCTTTCGGTTTTACTAAGCATCAGAGCTTGTATTTGTGGTCAAGTGTCCTGCCTGCTGACTTGTAATTGGAGCTTGGTTTTTTCAGACCTTGTTCTGTACTGATTTTTTGCCCTCATATCTGCCCATTCCCCAATATTCTGCTATTTCACGTAAACCTAGAAAAATCAGCCTCATTGCCACGTTTTAACTCTGCAACTTGGTTTTGGCATTTCACTCTTTTCCTCTCTGATAACCACGCTTGGGGAATTCAGGCTTCTCGTTGTGCAGAAGCCTTGTAAATTTACATTTGTTCTTTAGTTTTCAGAGATCAACTATTGCCAAGACAATACCATTACAACAAGAATAATTTCCAAATACAAACATTTAACAGCTCGGCTTACGGCCACTGATTACACAGAATGCAATTCGGGTAACCTCTTGTAGCTTACTGCCCTTGTGTAGGTGCCTTTTGTGTTCCTGTCCTGTACGAAGTCCCTCCTTTGGTCCCTGAGTTCCTTTTCTGTGCAGTGACTTCTTGCTTTTCTCTGTGGCTTCTTTTCCCTCCTAACTTCCGTGGTTCCTTCAGTTTGTCTTGTGCCGCTGTCCGTTGTTCCCGCTTCCCTTCCTCTACAGCCACCTGTACATGTGATTGTCTTTCCTTCTAGAAGTCTTTTTAGGATAGAAAACTTGAGTCATTTATGAGTTAAGGTGCAAAAGTCAAGATTTCTGACCTAATTACTGTATGCCACCATCGGCATATTGTGTTGTAGGTTTTAAATAGAGGGCTATAGGCGTGTGGAGCTGAAAGGGACTTCCAAGTCATTGCAATAGAAAGAAAACTGAAAAGTGTCCTCTTTGGACAAAGACCCCTGGAGCTCACAGAGGTGAATGACCAGCCCAGGATGCCACAGGGCTTTGCCTAGAGTCCATCTCAGGGCTCCTGGGCTGCTGCCTCCGCACCATGCACAGGGCCTCTGAGCGGATTCCGATAGTTTTGGTCACTGTTTGCTGCTTTACTAGGCTGAAGGCTTTATTTTCTCTGGTTGTACTGAGGACAGTGCTTTATACCCCTTAGATTCAGAAGTTGCTTGAAACCTTGGTTGCCTGTACCAAGCTTGCAGTGGTTTGGCCCGGGGTTTCCTGCCTACTCTTTACCTTTGACCCGCGAGTCAGAGCCTTCATGTAGAGTGCATTTGACCTTGTGTGGAGCAGTCAAGTATGTTTCTGCGAGGATTTTGTTTTCATCAAGTCGAATAGTGCCATTTTCCAATTGCTATTCCTAGTTTTCAGACCTATAATCATAGCTAAAGATTCGCTGTCATTTTTTTAAAGACTGAACATTTGAACTATATTTGTTCAGTGTCAGGAGTATGAAAATATTCTGGTGAGACGGGTGAACTTTTGTCACTTCACTAATTGGTGCATTTGACGATTTTTACAGGAGCAGTTTCTTCAGGAGCGAATCAAAGTGAATGGAAAAGCTGGGAATCTCGGTGGAGGGGTTGTAACCATTGAAAGGAGCAAGAGCAAGATCACTGTAACTTCTGAGGTGCCTTTTTCCAAAAGGTACGGGGAGGGGGGAGTGCCACCTGCCTGCGGCCCTGTGCTAGATGCCCGCCCTCCCCCGGGACAGGCATGTTTTTGCTGCCTGCGATTTGTTTTGTGGTGGCATCTGTTAATTTCTGGAATGGTGCCCAGTGCGAGGGGGCAGTGAGTGAATGAATGAGTGTTGTTATGGTAGCTCAAAGGATTCAACTTTTGATAGTTTTTAAAAATTTGTTTTTCACAGGCAAAAGTATTTTAAGCAGTAAATACTTGCTTAAACGGTGTTGTTAAAAATGCAGATATTGTTTCCTCTGCCTCTAGATCACAGTGAAGAGCTTTCAATTTTAATTCTATTATTTGTTTTCCCTGTAAGTGTTACTAGGATTGTGAGGAATGTGAAATTTCAGTTTAGACTGAAGCCGTTTCATTTAATTTCTGTGGGTTATTTTTTTTCTGAGTCACATTAATTCATTTGCCCTGCTGTGTTACACACTTCTGGTTGTGAGGATGAGTTTAAAACATTTTACAAGTCACTGAAGAATTGGGCATATTTATACCTAGCTTCTAGCCCAGAGCCTGGAATATTAGGCGCTTTTAATCAAGTCGTGTGAAATCTGAAGGTGTGTTAGGACAGACTGGTTCTAGTTCAGCTTTTGCTTTTACTGTTGATGAGATCAGTCAGGAGATGACCTGAAAGCCTAAGGGAAGGACTCATCCTGCCTGGCTGAGTTATTCTACGTGCAGAAGGCGATTGGCTATATCAGGGCACCTGTACGGAGGGACTCCAGGGTGTACTAAACGTTCACTCGCTGGGCTTTTGCGGAGCCCAGGGGAAGATTCTGTTATCTCCCTGTGACCCGCTTCCGCATTTTCCAGCCTCGCGTGAGACTCTCTGGATACAGCTTTACATCCGTTTTCACAGATTTTCTGTTCTTTCCCCAGGACAGAGAGAAAGGAGGCTTAGTCTTCTAGTATAGCTTTCCTATCTTGATGATAAGTTTTATTTTTTTTAAACATTTAAGATGTTCCTAATCTAGAACTTTTTCTTGCTGGTCTCTGAACTTTTGCAGCTTTTCACCTAGCTTTCCCTCAACATTCTGTTATGAAAATTGTCAAACCACCTCATCTGAATACAATATGATAGAAATAATAAATGAAAAAAACAACTTTAGATGAAACGACTGAATTATTTATTTTTATGTAGGGAAAAATGGATAGGATTGAACTGAGATCTTCATATCTTTGTGAAGGCTGCTCGATTGGCATGAGTAACACTGTTGCACAGTGTTCAATTCTTGGAGGTGTGACTTCGTTAGTCTGCTGACATTTGGGTCCTTGCTGATGTGCTGGTTTTAGTTTGCCTGTGCTTCTCATTTAGTCGCAACAGTCTGACGAGATGAGTGTCATGAGGCCCGTTTCCTAGAGGGAGAAACAGGTTTGGAAAGGTTACTTAGCCCAGCAGTGGGTTTGCTTGGCGTTCGATTCCCTCGCCTTCTCCTTATGGCTTTGGGAAGATGCTGGAGTAGCCAGGCCAGAGGAGAACAGTGCTCTCACGGCAGATCTGGAGCCAGGGGGGTGGGGAGGCACTTGTCCCACAGCAGAAGTGAGAGTGTGTGTATATAACAGAGCCCCAAAGAGTAATTAATCCCCATAACTGGAACCACCTGGAAAGGAGGTAGGAGCTATGAGGGCTGAGGCAGTGAGTGATAGATACAGAGGGAGCGCTCGGAGCTCAGCGGAGGGAAGCCCAGTGCTTTCTCAGAAAAAGGTGTCATGGTCGTGTGCTTAATTGTCAAATGACTACGGAATCTTCTTCAGTGGCCTCTGAAAACCATTTTCTAGGTGTTTGCTATTGTTTCATGGCCAACTCTTAATCTCACCTGTTCTCATTTTTATTGCCAGTTTAGATGAACTGTGGCTATTTATTCTTGTTAGATCATTGGCTGGGTGTGTTTGCCTTATCTTTGCTAATTTTGAAAGGTAGGAAACACCTTGATTTTGAATGCAAGGGTTTCATAAAAGTTACAGTGTTTCCGAATGCAAGAAGGCCCTGTATCTGGTGGAGTTCTCAAGTGTTCTTTCTCTGCAGGTATTTGAAATATCTCACCAAAAAGTATTTGAAGAAGAACAATCTACGTGATTGGTTGCGCGTAGTTGCTAACAGCAAAGAAAGTTACGAATTGCGTTACTTCCAGATTAACCAGGACGAAGAAGAGGAGGAAGATGAGGATTAAAACTCATTACTCTGGAATGTTTTGTATGAGTTCTTAAATAAAACTGAGGAACCAAATTGGTGGTTTTCCTTGTATCTCTGCAGAAAATTGGAAATCATAGTAAACGGGCTTCATTTGGGCGGCCACTCACTTCTTTGTAATTAGACTTTTTCTCTGCTTGAAAATTTCAGTTCTCGTGATAGTAATACCAAACTAGAAGAGTTAAGTCTCCTGACGACGATGTGCCTCGAGCTGCTGGATTACGGGTGTGCAGATGTGAGCTTCAGTTAGTCACTGTTTGACTTTAAAAAGCGACAGTTCTACCTGGTGCTTTTCTCAGATTCAGGAGTGCAAGTGTGGAGACGCCTAAGTCAGTGAAAGCAAAACCACAGACTTCTTTCTGAGGTTCTCTTGTGGGGACATGGCAGCATCTATAAAAATGCAGGGTCCTGGGGCATTTGTCTTTTTTTATTTTTTGATTATAAATTACTCGATGCCCATAATTATCATGTATGTTAATCTGTTTTCTTTCTCTAGAAATAAAGTGTGGTCCTTTGGCGTTGCTGCATATTCTACTGCCCCCCAGGAAAGGGTTTGGAGAGCGACTGTAAAAGTCCCAGGTTTTAAATTTAAAGTGCACAAAAATGAATTTGTCAGTGGTGGTTTCTTCGACTTTGCAACACACGGTCACTTGGGTCTCCAGCAGGGGGAGCTGGAGATGAGGACTAGAGCTTCCAGATGTGAGCATCTGTGTGTGTCCTGGGTGGGGATTCTCTGCTGCCCAGAGCTGAGTCTCTTCACGGGCCAGGCATGAAGGACGTGATTCGGGGACAGTTCAGGCTGGTGTTGAGATGCCCAGGGAATAGTCGCTTCCATGCCATTTAGGCCATGACTGGATTTAATGTCAAGTCATTCTACAAACTGACGTTAAGCAGGACCAAACCGCAAGTGTTCCGCATGATTTGGGGGCAGAAAACGAACATGACGCCTCATCTTGGGATTTTGTTGCCATGTGTGCAGAGGCTAGAGACCTAGAGGCTGTAAAGATGGAATTGTTGCTGACAGAACATGAAGAGTGTGCGAGTGGCTTTGGAAAGAGACCCTTGATGCCTTAGGGTCGTAAAATCTTTTAAACAATTCTGCGGAAATGTATGCGTTGTCTTGAAATTACTGTGTAGAAAATCCATGTATTTAAGGAGCTTGCCTGCAGCTGATTTCCACACCTGAAATTTCGCGCGCTCAGCTCAATGCGTTGCTGGAAATGAAATGTTCGAGTCCTGCTTGGCTCCTATTTTAACATTCGGTGCTTCTTGGATCGAATTGAGTGTGTTGAGTGAGGCTTTGCAATTTCATCTGTGGTAAAGGCTCTAGCATTTTCTATTTCTATGCAAATTTCCTGGAGCAGAATTGTTTGCACGTTTCTCTGCCCTCAGAAAGCAGGGTTTCTTTCCAAATAACTGAGGCATTGGTTACTCTTTGTCCTTTCCCTGAACCGCTACTAGTAACTCTGTTAGTAAGTTTATGACTTGGGTTTCAAATTTTACTTGTTACATTGATGTTCCCCTGTAGTAATTCTTAGTGTGGCTGTAAAATATTAACCCTGGGCTGAAATTAGCATATACTTTTTTTAAAAACCACTCCCAGATTTTAAAACTTGTAATAAAATTGAGACTTAATTGGTTTTTCTATGCCTTTTTGAACTCTTGTAATTGAGTTTTGATCACATTTTATATTAAAGTGGCTAACACGTGGCTACTGTTATTGTGCAAGACCTTTTTTTTTTTTAAAGGATATTAATCTGTTTAGCAACAAAAATTTTGTTTGTCCTCACTGATTAATTGCTGTACTGACAATGACCTTGGTCTTCATTAAGCTTGAGAAGAAAATGTCCTTCTGTCCCCTTTTCTTTACTTGTCTTGCTGTGCCTCAGTGAGATTCTGCAGTTGACAGAACTAAACTCAGTGTAGAATTTCTTCAGATCTTTGCCAACAAATGACTTTTTCTGATGGAGGGGAAAATAGTGTGAACCTGAATTCCATTACACGCATTGCACCAGCTGTGCCTGAACCATATTTTAGTAGACCAATTTCCTCATGACTCACCTGTCTGATCTGAAATATTCAAGGCACAGGAACAGATTGGGTCATGGGGAGTTTCAAGCTGAAATTTAACATAAAAGAAGCGAAATAGGAGGTTGGCACAGTCGTTCTCAGTGGCCTCTGGTTCCCAACACCACATCTGCCTTGGCTTATCAACACCACTTGGCTTATCTCTGAAGGTTTAATACCTTGTTTTCCTTTCCAAAGCCTCAGTGATGCCCCCCACCCCCCACCCCCCGTGACTTGGACAGTCGCGCAAGTGCTTTTCTTTTCTGAGCAGGTGCCTTCCCAGCTCTCCAGGAAGAGCCAAGTGTTCAAATACACAGGTCCAAACTGTTCACCAGTGGTGCCTAGCTTGGTGAGCAGGAACACTTGTGTCAGAAACAGGGGGCGGGGGTGGGGGTGGGGGTTTCGAACGTATCCTATATTTTAAGATGGTCAAAATTACAGAATGTTCTGGGGTATTTAGACCTCAAGGCTTTTTAGGGGACACTTGATTTCTTGGGAGGTGAGCAGGACCCCAGTGAGGTTTGAATGGTGCCCTGGTCGTCACTGATAACCTCAGGCGAGCCTGGAAGTTGGCTTCGGGGCCCGCTTCCATTTCCTTCCTCTTGTTGCTGTGATCCTTCCTGTGACACCCCCCAGGCTTGTCAAGTGTTGGAGGCATAGCTGGGTGCTGGCCCCTCCCTGTGAGGGGGCACACAGCTGGGATGTGGGTCCCTGACGAGACGACTACAGATTTGGCAGTATCAAGGGGACAGTGACCTTGGACAGAGCCCAGGGCTGGCTGGGGTCAGAACCACCTCCGAGGGAGAGCCTGGGAGGGGTCCTGCTGGAGGTGTTGGCTGAATCCTGTTCTCTGGGGTAGTAAACTGGCTGCGGCTTCTCCCCGGAAGGTAAGGAAGGGTTGTGATCCCAGCAGGAGGCGGTGCCGAAGGAAGCCGGGACTCCGCCTTAGTTGAAGCCATAATGGTGCTTGTCTGGGAACAAAACCCTAAGAATGTGTAATCCAGACGTTTTCCCACCTTGGAGAGGATTTGAGAATCCACGTTCTTTTTCCTAGGCTGTTTCAGGTCAAGCTGAAACTTAAGGCTGCGCTGACTGCCAAGTGGTCAGCTGCTGCCATAGCTAGAACCCATTTAAGGGTTCTACAAGCACTTCCTCAGGTTCAGGGCCATGGCCAGGAGCCTGCCTTTCAGACGAGCCCCCTGCCCCTCCCCAGCAGCCCCAAGTGATTTGGATTTCCCGCCTTGAGAAAGAGCAAGCGAGGTTTTGGTGCATGGGCACTCACCCTTCATTTCAGGGGACACTGCAATCCTGCCAGTGACAGTATGACCCGCCTTTGAGGAGGCCCCGTCAGAGCTGTGACCTGCGTGACTGGCTGGGAGAGGTGTAGGAAAGTACTTCACTGCCCTTTAGAGGCCCAGTGTCACAGGGCCATCAGATGTCCACGCCGCGATCTGCTGCTGAAGGAACGGTCCCCACAGGACTTGGCCGGGATGAGCAATTCAGAGACTGAGGATGTGCCCGAGATCCTACCTACTGCAGCTCTGCTCTTGGGAAAACATTTTCCCTTGGTGCTTTTATAACATATATTTTAAAAATATAATTTGATTTTGAATTGTCACTGAGGTGTGATTATAAGCCCTTTGATAAGCAAACATGAGCATTTTATCTCCTGAAACTAACCTTTAATTACTTAACTCCTTGTTCTCAGAATTACAGAGTTAATTATTGAATTTTCACTTTTTTAGGGATTGCTTTTAACCTCAGGCATTTTTGGCCCATTGTCATTAAAATGCACAGCTATAGTTCAATAATAAGAGCTCCCCTTTTAAATATCACTGGAGATTTCTAGTCAAAAATCCATTTGTTTCTGCCATTCCACTTTTTGTTTTGTTTTGCTTTTGGTCCTTAAGTAATGTTACGTAGCTGCAGCGTGGGCAGGAACTCGATGGGGAAGAGGATCACGAGGGATGAGCATCAACTCGAATTTTTGCCAAATGGAGCAATTGGAACTGTTCATTCTTGACCGATGTCTTGACTTTCTCAGCCTGGCCTTGGAAATTGGAGCCAAGGTTAATGGGTGTGTGTGTGTGTGTGTG